ACGACCGATGCGAGCTGAATAATACCGATAGTAATAAAATACGCGCGCGCGCGCACGTATCTTTCTCATAAATAATTTAACTCTGCTTCGTTTATGAAATCGGTTTTCAGCTTTGTCGTGGGTGAAATATAGGTTCAACGTAGCACGTGCGTGATGATCGTTGATCTTATAAAGATATCTTCATTTTGTCAGGAAATTAATGCGTCGTGTTCGATCTTGCACCGCTAACGTGAGACTTACATTAGCAAAGTATAGAGTATTTGTAAAGCGAGGCTATTTTTAAATGTATATTTCGTATTATAATCGGAGCCTCTGAGAATCCGGTTTAGGTGTACCTACATTTATGCGTCGATCGATATAAAGTAAAAGAGTATGACTTGTTTGCCTTCTTTCTTTAGACTTCTAAGATGGATATATTGCCGTTTGTAACTTATTACATTTTAAATTTATTTTTATTTACAATTAATTTGTTTAAATTATTAATTTACATGTGGTTACAATTATTTTTAATAAACTACAGAAATTCTTGTAAAATATAGAACATAATTGCGTCTAAATATTTGTAAAATTTTATAATATTTTGCAGAGCATATTTTGTCTTGTATTACATAAGTTATAAAGAGTTGCTGGAAACGACAAATTTTGAAATGCATCTTAAAATAATCAACGTTAATAAATTTTTCCTACATTATTATTATAAGACGGCTATTTGGAGCTTTCGTTATCTATTGAGGATATCGGGCGGCAATTAGAGATAAACTTGATAAGCATCAACCCGGTTTGATAAAAGATTAGCCGCACGATACGATTTGTCAATTTGGAAGTTAAATCACTTATATCAATGAAATAAAGTTTGTTCGGTAATACGGAATTACACAACACATGGTAAACATTACAAAGTGAATTATTCATCATATCGGGTATATAAAGATTTTATCTAATTATATATTTTTTTATACATAAAATAAGAATAAACTTGGCTAGTGTCAAGTGCACGTTTATCGGTTTAACATTCTCTTAATACCGTTATCGAATATCGATAATTGTTTTAAACGTGATCCAGAGTATTTGGTGGAAGTTGCACCAAATTAAGGAGATGTCCCACTTGTGTGTCTCCCGGGTGTTGCGCTATATATCACGAGGGTCACGGTGTATCAACGTGTCTATGCACATTATTAGGTACACCATGTTCTGTATGAAGACGAAAGACAAGACGAGACTATACGAGACACAAGATCGTACAAGACGAGACGTGGAAAGAGAGAAGGAGAGAGAACACGTATAAACCGCTGGTGGTGCCCTACTTGGGTATTGATCCGTGACAGTGGGAGGCGCTCGTTAGAGATGGCTAGGTCGTAGGTCGCATGCGCGTTTCCACCGATGATTCCGTATCGCCATCATCGACCCGCGGCTCGAGAGAAATAGAGCCGAATCGGTGAGACATGTTAGAGAAAGAGAAGAGAGAGAGAGAGAGAGAGAGAGAGAGAGAGAGAGAGAGAGAGAGAGAGAGAG